CATTTGCGCCCAGGAATAGCTCTGGCCAGTGCCAGCGCGGCATCATCAAAACATAATAAGGATATCAAGTTGAATTATTTTCGAGTCCAAATTACGCTGTTCACGCTTTGCAACATTACTATCTAGTGCCACTACGCTTCTCCCCTGGATTGGGAGCCACAGTCGTTATGTGCCCCGTACCACGCGCACCTCCACTAGAGCGAATAAAAGAACGTTTGTGATTTTCCCCGCAGGCAAGGTCCTGTTACCGAGAAGTAAGCTGGCTGAAGTTTGAACCAGTGCGTCACATGGATCATGTGATACTCTCATTCTCAAAGCCAAGTGTGCCTCGAAAGAACCAGCCTGGTGAACATCAAAAGGGAGAAATAAAAGCCATAGTATGACTTGTTCCACTCGCGGGATAAAAGTTTCATTTTCGCATTAATTTTTGTCTAAACAAAGTGTATCAAACTTTTGTAGCATGATTACACATACACTTTGACACATAAATGTGCTACAAACATTACAGAACACACACATCGGAAGCATCAAAGCAAATGAAAGGTACTTCTTTCCTAGTGGTGAACAGGGGGTCAAATTAGATTTCTACCGCAGGGTCGGCTACTTTAAATAAAAGTTCTGAGCTACCAGAAAGCATTTCGAGCAAAAACTGGCATTGCTGACCAAACCGTGAGCGCTTGGTTGTAACAATAAGTGACAGCACAAAAAAGTTTGGACGCTCCCTTTAACTGCAGCAGACAACAGACTCGCCACGCTAGCCTCGGACTCGCACCACCAGGCGGCGGCACGACCGCGGGGTGCGAGGCCTTGCAAGGCCACAGCGTATCGTAATGGACTACCGCTTAAGGCTGCTGCATACATCATCATACTCGCCGCTTAATTGCACGGAATCGGCTCACTGGTTATATACATCTGCCACCAACAGCTTGCTGTCGGCACCAAGACAGCCTGATGTTCACGCCGCCCCATGGCAGATAGGTCTTGTGTGCGCGTGTTCACTTTCCAGGCCATTGCATCTTGATACTTAGCTGCATAGGCTTGGAAAGCACATCATGTACGTCATAAGATTATACGAAAGCGGCTGGCTCGTCATATGCACCTCCCGCCGACGGATTTTGCACTATCTATACAAATGTCTCGATGTTCCGGTTGTCCCTCACTGTGACGTCAGGGGCCAAGCGGCCCGTCGCGCACTGAAGCCTCGGCACCAGTGATGTTACGCCAACGTTAAGGGCAATGTTCCACATTTTAAGATGTTGACGGCATCAGTCATCAGGCATCACATATGACGAAATAGGGTCACTTATAACTATTGGCATATTTTAAGTAAAAAGACGACTCTAGACAACACGATTTCTCCTTTTAGCACACATGCTTCTGAATACGCCATTGTTTCATTGCGCCATCGTACCTTGCACAACATTGGCTGAGAGTCAGTTGGCGGCCGTTATATCTGGAAATCGTGCTCACGGACGTCAGATATGCACGACTCGACAATTATATTTTTCTTGGCCTTGATCGCTGCATGGCTAATAGCATGGCAGGATTTGAATGACGTTAGTTTGACGTCCTGGATGCTGGTGACCTTGAAGTAGTCTTCCCGAAAAAGTCTGCACATTTTTGCGGGCGCGTAGCTCAGAAAGTAAAGGGTTTTTGGGGTCTCAAAAAGGACATGGCTGTGAACTGCACGGACTGTTCTTCAAGACGGCCCTTTTAGTTCAAAACCTTCTACAAATGTGGAACCGTGGGTGTAGAAACAAGGGGGGGAGGGGCATGACGGCCACGGTCCCCCCACTTTTCAGGGGGGGGGGGTTGGACCAGCGGTGTCAACTACCCTCCCCTCATTTTCCAGATTAAGGTTGTGTATATCTTACTTTCGCACTACATGAAACATGCATGCCGATTTATCTAGTTCACCAGCCGTCTTCCAAAAAGTGCTTCGTCTTTTTTCGTTTGCTTATTGACCACCACTTAGTATCACAATCGCAGGGTCGACGTCGCGCGGGTATGGAAACTGCAACGCCTGGAGTCGGGGCTGTTGTTGCTATTACTTGCGAGCGCGCGTGTTCAAAACCATATTACATAGTCTTTTATCAGTGATCAGTTCTGACTGAATCTTATCTCTAAGTATCTCTGAAGAACACAGAAAAAACATGGAACTGGAGTCTATGTGACAATAATTGGACCGCCTGCGGAGATCACGGATATTGTTGCGTCAATGACGTTTCCTGTACTGATCCGAGGCCAACTGGCGGGTCAGAAGGCCTCCCGTGTAAGAAAGGGGAGCAATGCGATATAATATAGCCCTCTAATAGCCTCCGGATCGACCAGGAGATCCTGCCCCGCGTCGCCAGAATGACAGCCAGAAGACACTTCGCGATGGGGCGCCATGGCCTTTCGGCCCTTGACCGTTAACGGTAATGTGCCCCTGGTGTTCTACTCAGGGGGCCCCCTTGCCCGAAAGGAAATAAAGGGTATCATTATTGTCGAGCAGGGTGGCGGTCTCATTAGTATTGAAAAGATTGGGTCGAAATGATGAAAAAACGAACAAGACCACTCCAAGTTTCCCTGAGCACGCACATTTTTTCAGAATGGGTTAGTGAAACAATTACACCAAAAAGTTTGAACATGCCCGCCCGCAACCTCGAGGGCAAGGACGGCGATGACTCAGGTTGCAGCTTCCGTAAAGCCGAACGGCGTCAGTCACTGCAAGTGCCACCAGACGGTGGGCACCGTGTTAATCTGTCCTCTGGACAGATTAATAGATACAGAAACACGAAAAAAATTACGCTTCTCTTCCATTTCCACCACTAAATACCAGCGCAACTTCGCGGTGCTTGAAAGAACAATCCGCTCTTATCATCGGTCTGAAAATCGTCTACGTGAAATATGCGCCCAGACTGCCTTCCCAGTGTAAGATTTGATGTCCTGAAGCGATCAAAGATAACTTTTTTAGGACCGCCATCATTTCATCCTTTCGTTGGCTACAGCTCAATATTAACTACTGGGCGACGCCGCGCGGCCTTCGGAGACTGCAGCGCCTGGGGGCGAGTTCTTTTGTGACTAAGATTTGCGAGTGCGCATGACAAAATTTACGTCACGTATCTTGTGTCATTAATCGATTTAAGTGTTTAAAGGTATTATTTTCGTCCACTGGTGAGGCACGGCTAAAAGCAAATTGCTAGGCTAACGCTCCGCGGACGATGGAGACTGCAACGCCTGGCGTCGAGGTTTGTGTTGCTAAGATTTGCGAGCTCACAAGTTTAAAAACCACGTTACGTAAATTGCATCGCTTATAGATTCTGACTGAATGTTGAACATTTTCAGACAAGCATGGCTTGGCCATGTTAATACACATTGTTGACCCACTCAATCCGCAATCAAATTTTTATCCTTAAATTTCGATCAAACATATTGATCTACAATCGACCTTCGCAATGTCCTTGATGTCTGTAGACCCCAGATAAAAATTCTGACAAAGCTTCTGAATTCTATCGGTTTAGAAAGAGTCCACTAAACCAATGAAAATTAAGAGCGCCGTTGAAATATTTAATCCATGGGGGTCGTTTAACGTCTAATTTCCGCAGTTTATCAACTTCAACTTACAAACGGAATTGATAGCCTCTGGTTTCTGCTTTGGTTACAAAGTGAACATAACGATAAAACGAACAAACCTGTTTCCGTTGTTAACAAGTAAGCTATATCCCGGGATTTTTAGGTGGGGAGGGAGAGGGTTACCATAACAGGGGCTTTTGTCAACTCTTGTACTCCCCCTTGGCGAGACCCTGGCTGTGCCCTTGTCTGCACACAAAAGCAGACCAAGACGTCTAGGTTGAATGATGGGCAATTAAATGTCCGTTGGGCTAATTCATACCTAAGGCAGATAGCTTCCGGGAGACTTTTTACTGCGGCGGTGTGGTGTAAGGGAAGCGAATTAGGAAAAATACTGTCGCCGGTGTTCAACATATGTCTTGCACACCAGTTAGTAGTAATGCTGATCCAGAAATATGCCACAAAACGGTCATGCCATTAGTTCGCAGTCATGCGGGAGACAGCCGTGTCAGGGGCAGTGGCCGCCGACGGCGGACGGGAGCAGCACCCGGATAACGTATGTATGACAGGGGGCCTCCATTCTGTGTCTTAGTTTTTAAAGGAGAATCTCTAGTTTTATGGCTTTTGTCACATTGTTGTTGGCAGTTTGAAGCTTTCAAACCTGGTTTCACCTAAAATGCTGCGACAAGTCTTTTCTCTTGAAAAGCAGCCAGCGAAATGAAAGGACGTGCAAAATCTGTCACACTGTGAGCCATCGATTCACTTTCAAAATTCACACCAGCCTATGCCCGGGCGATATTTAGGCACGTACCCTGTGGAGGCAGATGCTTCCTCAATGGCCCAAAATGCCTATCTGCTAATGGAATTTCGCCTCCCCAGGAAATACATGGTTGAAATGTTAAAAGGAACGAATAATCTTCGGGGAGCTGGAGAGCCTTATTTGCCAAATGACATAGATGAGTTGAATAGACAAAATTGTGCATCAGTGAGAAACAACTCTAGATGCATATTTAGCATAGCAGCGGGCTTGCTTTCCAGATTAAGTTCCTGAAGTACTCTCTGAGCTTGGCCCTCCTACTTTTCGAAACGTTCTCACGCCAATGTGTCGAACCTGTAACGGGAGTTAAATAGAACATTTTATCTGTATGGGAGTTTGAGCTGAAAACGCTATCTTGAAGATCATTTGGGCAGTGCTATATCTCTCTCGCACGGTCTTAGTCTTATGGGTAGTTAAATCATTGACACAATAGGATAGCGCCGCTGTTACTAAGAGATCATGCAAGGTCGCAGTTAAGAATAATGGGAGCAATGCATATGTAGTCTGTGCTTTCCGTCACGCATGTTCAACAGAATATTTTATATTTTAGCAGTGTTTTCTTAGAACTATCTTGTCACTGTTGCGCCATATATGTCCAGCTCTTGACCGCTCCGTCGCTCACCCTGCCGCTGCATGCCGTGTAAAGCAATATTACGGTGGGGCGGGTAGTTTCCGGTTGGTGCCAGGTAGCCTGCGGTGCTGGTGCCTGCGACTTTACAGGTGAGTGTCAGTCTTCAGTGTATCCGACTTGATTTTTCAGCTGTAAGTCTGATCGTAGTGTGACCCTCGGTGGCGCGACAAGTGATTGCATTCAATGTCACAAGTGGTGTGGACATAGGTACAGTTAAAAGAAAGATGACAAGCTCTTTTCACTTATGTTCTATTGTCGTCTACATGAAGATTTCGTTATCACTGTACTTACTCCTACTGTTGCCTGTACTTTTGTCTTATTTTGTATCTTATGGTTTATTATTTTATTAGTGTGGGTGCAGGCCTTACATTTTGTGGTCAGGGTGTACTTTCCTACCTACCTAATGTTAGAAAAAATCATTGTACACCATTTGCTGTGTTTAAGGCAGGACATATTGTAAATAATCTTAAAACAGGTAGATTCATGCTCTTACATTCAAATGTTTTATAATTATGATGGCGAGCTCCCGAGTGCCCCACACACACAGCAGCTGCGACACCGGCGCCATTACTGCGCGCAGTCACAACATTACTGCCCATCAAGCAGCATCAAGAACCATAAAAATGTAGAGGGCCAAGGTAACAAGAATTCATGAAATTTGATCCTCGACGCCAACAGGGTGATGGGTTGCAGGGGGATTGGGTGGGGAATGTAAAGCAAAATGAGAACATGGTGGCTAAATAAAAGCTCACTATACAGTACCTATATATGGCATGGAACATGGATGCCAATGGGATGCTGGGTTGAAGGTTAGGTTAGGTTAGGTTAGGTTAGGTTAGGTTAGGTTAGGTTAGGTTAGGTTAGGTTAGGTTAGGTTAGGTTAGGTTAGGTCAGGTCAGGTCAGGTCAGGTCAGGTCAGGTCAGGTCAGGTCAGGTCAGTCAGGTCTGGTGCGGTTTGGTTCGGTTCGGTGGGTTGGGTTGAGTTGGGTTGGGTTGGGTTGGGTTGGGTTGGGTTGGGTTGGGTTGGGTTGGGTTGGGTTAGGTTAGGTTAGGTTAGGTTAGGTTAGGTTAGGTTATTTTAGCTTCGCTTAGCTTAGGTTCCGGTCTATTTTTGGTTGGGTTGGGTTGGGTTGGGTTAGGGTAGGATATGTTCTGGACTATTCTGGCCCGTGTGTTTCATAAACGTACCTTAACGTGATAAGAAACGATTTTCATTGCATGATTATTGTTACATTGATCCCATACATTTTTTATGGTTCTTGATAAGCAGAAGTATTGTAATTACACAACAACGCAGAAACGGCGCTGGGGAGTTGAGGCGGTCCTGTGCGTGGGGCGCTCAGGAGCACGCTATCATATTTATTAAAATTCGAAGGTGGGAGCAGGATTCTACATATTTTGAGATCATTTACGATATGTTCCACCTTAAACAAAACAAATGGTGTACATTTATTTTTTCTAGCGTTAGGTAGCAAAGCACACCTACACCCATTTTCTGAAACAGCTAACATGCACTCCATATAGCAGGCAAACCGCACAATATTGGTGTTAGTAGATGCACCATATGCTTGTGAGTATTTCTGACACCTAAATGTATCTCTATGTGTCATCCAATGACAGTAAATAATGTCTTCCATGACACCTGTCAGAAACAGGTGTGAGGGATAGTGCTATTGTAGAGACTGCATATGTAAAGGCAGTTAAGTTAAATAAAATCTAATGTTGAGTGCATGGAGATGCTGCAGAACCACTGCCAACCCAGTAAGGCCACAAAACCACTGCCAATGTAAAACAGGGTCAACACTTGACTGGATTGAACAGAGATAGTAGGATGCTACCATGCAACCAGCTTTAAGTGTTTGTAAACCTCACACAAAACTTGTATTGATATTATTTTTTGGATAAAAGCAATAATAAATGTGTCAGGTCAAATCCAACAGATTCAAAATGTGACACCAGCAGGCCTATCCTCAATGATGTATTTGAAGATCAGACAATATTGAAGTACTAGTGGCTTGTATATATATATATATATATATATATATATATATATATATATATATATATATATATATATGTATATATGTATATATATGTTGCAACCATGCTGCTGTTTTTTAACTCAGTCTTAGATTACAACTAGTCACCAGCAAAGCCATGGCAATATGGGCTTCTGTAGGTGCCATGACACCCCACTTTCCTAGAATATAAAGGATGGGCTCCATTGTGACGCGTGGAAAGAAATAACCTCAAAATTGGTATTGGCTATGCTAGTTTTGAGATCATCTGCTTGTGTTACCAGTCAATACTTGGATGCTCACATTGTCAATGACATTTTGATTTTCAAGTTTACAAGAAGCACTGACCCAGAAGCAGACACAGTGCGGGTTTGAGACCGTTGGTGGTGTGCCTGGTGCCCCTGTTATCTGGACACATGTACCAGGGCTCAAAGCACAAATAAGATTGTGGTTTTTGCTTTGCACATTATATTTTTTGTTACATGGATTAAGTGGCCCCCTAGGTCTAGTTATAGGTGCAAGTAATATTAAGTCTGGATGAAAAGTAATTCAATGATCTAAATCCTGTCTTTGGCACACAAGCACACACCTCAAACTACTCAGTTAGAACTGTTGTGTGCATTGTTGGGCCAGAAAGGGTAGAAGCTCTGGGCCTGAACCTGTTTAAAACCTGAAGAAAGGCCAGGTACAATTTTCCATACTATGAACAAACAGACTTTATGCCAAACCACATTTATATCCTCATTTGTATTATTGTTAGCTGAAGAGGCCATTGTGCTGCTCACTGCACACAGATGACTGCCTGCAATGCAAGATCTGATCACAGAAACATGCTACTCTGTATACCAGAATTTGAAGAGGCAAAAATGAAAAAGCAACCTCCAACTTGTGACCAGCAAAAAGATATTCTCACCTCATCCATAGTCTCGTCCTATCATTTTCTCACCTCACTAGGTGCCAACTGGTTATGCACATGTGTCACCTGGCCACATCTGAATCCACATTTGTGTTGTGTTCCAGCCATGGCCGACGAGGCGACCCCCGGCCCTTCCCCGGTTCCCAAGATTGACACAAGCACCTGGCAGGGCTGGGCGGACAGCATACTGGTGTGGGCAGCCACCGACCCATACGACTTTCTCTTCAAGGTACTCCTCTGTCTGTCGCCACTCTTCTTCATCTCGTCTGTGCTGTCATTTAAGCTTGCCAAGGCAATAGACAGGGAAAAAAAGGAAAAGGAGAAGAAGGACAAAATGCTTGCTGGGATAGCAAAAAAGAAGAAGTCCAAGAAGGCTGACTGACTATGCTGTGTTATGCATTGTGGTATGCAGTGTCCATTCCGATTACTCTCTCTGTGTGATTATCTTTTGTAAAATGATTTGGGATTTGAAGCACTCATGTGCGCTTGTTAACGCCATAATTTATGTAATTTGTCGAGGTTAACTAGCCGTGGCATCGGATGATCACTTGCTGCGTGACATGGCATCTTGGCCCAGTGGAGAGCAGCCTGCTATCCAACACTCATCGTTCAGCACCGGAGGATGCCCGAGGTACGGGCGGGATCTCCCAGTCCGAGGCGCCCCATCAGCTCCTGACGACCAGGAAGAGCACCTGTGCTGACGGTTCTCCGTAGTCCGCTAGGCTGAACCCGCCGCGTGCCCGTCCGGCGCCCTACCGACTGGGAAGCGCTTGTGTAGTTCCGTGGCAGCAGACAACGATTCTGAGGCGGGCGCTCTGTTTGAGTGCTCCTGGCACGGGACTCGCGCGTGCTCCGGTCAGTGACCATATGCCACCGTGGCAGCAGGACTACCAGCCCTGTCGTGGTATTCATCGAGCTTCTCACCGGTCAGGTCATCTGCTGATGGCCCGTCTTGTTGATTATGTGAATAAAACGACTGAAGATCACTGCACTGTGTTCGTGACAGTGGGGTGCTGGTTGGGGGAGCGATGCTCTGGCTGTACGTGGGTAGCGTTGTTGGCACAGGTACAAACAGTCTTCTGCGTGATGTCGTGACATCGAAGTGGTACAAACTTATGGCCTGACATGAACAGGCTTAAACTATCATTCCTGTATCGGATTATTATCACTCACATGAACGTTGATGAGCATCGTGTATTACTTATTGTTTACCTATTTTAGATTTAAACCATGAGGAGACTTTATATCAGGATACGGAAATCCTGTACTGTTACTAATGTCCGTGCATTTGAGGTATGGCCTCGTCAATGGGATCCAGGATATCTGTTTGAATTCGTTTGATGAGTTTGTCTTGCAGCTCATTCCGTATCTGTTCCTTGACCAGCTTTGCTAGGAGCGTGATTAAGTAGTCCACTTTAGCGTCCAGTGGACGTGAACTTCTGATATTTGATCTTACCCCTTGAACAAACAAATCGTCATCCTTCGGGGACCGACTTATTCGAGTCTTGTCCTGTGAGGCACGGATATCGATGGGTAGCGCCATCTTCCCGTTGTGAAAAGCTGAACTATTAGAAAGGATAGATGGCGGCTGGAGTTGTCCAGAAGGTCTGCCGGTAGCTTGCTCACCTTGACGTGGAAAGAAACATCAACATTATAATCGCGATAACATGCATTTGCTAGCCAGCAGGCATCGTGCGCATACATTGTACGAACGGATCGTTGTTCAAGCGTCCAGACTGAACCGATGAGAAGCGCTGGTTAAACTGATTACTGGTCTTAATCTCTTCCGCCCCCACCTCCATTTGCCGCCCCTTTGGATGGGAGCGATCTTTGAAACGCTTGTTACGGTCGATGATGGTGGATGCGCGAAGGATATCAAGACACTACTTTTTCTCGACTTTTTTCCATGCAACGTCTTGAGGCTAATGGTAAATTGTTCCAGATATTGGGCAACTGCGCCCTCTCCTTCCGCTCCCGCCACCCCCCGAGTTCCAACATGGTTCGACACGTGCCTCAGCGGAACTCCATGCGATTTGATCGTGCCCATGGCCATACCGGGGACTGTATCGTAAATATTTTTGCCGTTCTTATATCAATCGTGGTATTTTGGGGATACGGGCCAGATGCAGAATTGGCGGAGGCAAACAATGGATAAGAGGGAGGTAAGAGGGAGAGTGGATGGAAGGAATGCAAAGAAACATGAACTTCACCCATGGTTCCACGTTGACTCTCTTTGAGGTTCCAATCTATCCCGCTGTCTTCTCCCATTACACGCGAAATATAGCTGCGGTCTCACTCCCAGTATACACATATTTTCCGTCTTGATATTCAAGGATCTTGGGCGCGCGCACACGATATGGCCCAATGTACCCCATTATCAGCAACAGGTGATGGTCATAAGAAACCTAGGAAATACCAGGGTCAGGGTGACTTTGTGAACGACACAGAAGCTATCAATAACACTCTTCTGATCCCCATGTTCAGCAAGTTCATGCTGCGTTATCGCCAGCTTCGCCTTACTATATCCGTTTTCCTGCAATGCTTACCTTGACAAGATGTCCACGATGGAACCAAGATGAGAATGACTAAAATACACCTTGCTTGAATGCGTTCCTTTACCGTGGCCGTCATAGCATTTTCATGACAAGTGGCTGCTGGATTGGACCTTAATAAGCACTCGACTCTTAACCGTAGTGAGTTTATGGACCACCATCGCGTGACCCAAAAGACCGGCAATACTTTTCTTAGGAAGGTTAAGGCATGGTAGCATTTAATGCTAGCGTAATGAAGACAGGGACAAACGCTCAGGACGCCACGCCTGTCTTACGTTAGTTAAAAATACAGCTCGTTGGAGCGTTTAATGTCAACATAACGAAATAAAAGGAAAGCTCTTAGAACCCTAAATCTGCTTTAGTTGGTCAAAACGAAACAAACGCTGATCTTTGCCAGGTGTCTGCACTCAAAATAAGCTGATCATTTGAACGATTTGCACGTGCTTGATCAACCAGTTTTCTTCCTGATTCATGGTTTGGGCAGTTTCCGCAGCCTGACGCAGACAGAGGCCTTGGATACCGACCATAAATTTCGTTCAGGTACATCTATGCCCGGGATCAGTTGTCAGATCATTTCTCCGTGGAATGCAGCTAGGTCAAGGAGCTAAAAGTACGTCTCGTCGCGTATTTTAGCTGTCAGTGCCATAGATGTGTGGCAATTTTTGCCGCGAAGTGGGCGTTACCCGGTTTCGCGTCTGTTCAGCCCCATGGTGACCTGACTGTTGGGACATTCATCCTACCGTCAAGCCACTAGCTCACTTCATTGTTTGGTAAGCATGTGTGAATCATCCTCAGCCATGCAGTCAATCGCCGCTGCCTACAGTCTGTGAAGACAGTCTCGCTGCCTGGATGCATCGCCACGCAAACGAAGACCCGCCAGCACGACAGCACCTGCCGGTCACATGTCACGAGCCCCGGATCATTACATCACGCGGCGAGAGAAATGACCGTGCCCCCGTCAAGATCCGCATTGAGCCAGCATTCACCTTTGACTACATACGCGAACAGCACAGCCAGAGGACACGACGTCCGCCGTTAGAGGGCGCTGACGATGCGACGCACTGGGCCTGCCAACGGCGCGAACACGTTCCGGCTGTGAGCGAGGCAGCCGCCGGTAGGGGTGTGAAGGAGGAGCCAGCAACGACACATGAGGGTCCATCAGTCCACGGGGCCCAGTCGGACTCTATTCTCGGACGTCTGGCCAGATATGTGATGTTAAGACGGTGTCGGAGTAGTCCCGTGGTGGCCGTGTAACCAACTATACGCTACTGCTGCACGAATACGCGCGATATATTCCATTCGCCATACAAATAGACTTTTACTTACAGTCTGCCTTCCAACGTGATGCTCTGTGGTAGCGAACAGAGTGACCAGAGCGATTCCTGTCCCCTCCTCGAGCTGGGCATAGGAAAAGCGCTGTGATGGGGTGTCCCTGACGGCTCGGCGCCTCCAGTCACTACCTCTGCGCCCCTTCACTGCGTGTCAAACAACCCAGTACGGGCGATGTCTGCAGACCCTGGGGCTGTGCGTTATGCATAGTGCGGGCTACCTGTAATCGCAGGCGCTGTATAAGCTAAGATAAAACGCCACCAAATACAGACAACCAAAATGTAATTTAAAACTTCTCACTCAGCAGCTGTCTGACGGCATGCGGCAAACCGAAGCAGTTGTCCCGCCCGGGTCCATCAGCTCACCACGCCAGCGGCGGCCAGCATCAGCAGGCTCATGGCCACGGACATCCCATCAGTGTCTATGACAGCTTCAACCGGACTTCCCGCTTACGCCCGTCCCGTTGACGCACCCGCGGCCATCTTTCGTGCGTAAATAGTCAAGGTGATCTGGGAACTGGTGTCGGAAATTCCATTTCCGTAGCTAAGTGCTCAAGGATTGGCACATGGCTCAGAAAAATTGAACCGGTGATGCCAGTCCGGGCTTGCATTAAAGTTGTTCGATGAACGTATTGCTCTTAAATGTTACAGACACAGCATGCTTAAAGCATTTGTCATCAGCGGTCGGTTTGCTTTTTGTCCTCGGCGTGTTTGTTTCTGAAGACAAGTCACAAAAACAGGCAAAGCAACGACATTTATAAACAGTTTCTGTGATATTATGTTGATATTCATCAGCCTGCTTCGGTCGAAGCAGGGTGCCGCAAGAACCAAAAGATGTCGGCTACAACCGTTACGTCTAGACAAATGAATCAATGTAACGCTTTGTCTGCAGGTGCAAATTGCTATCACGTCTGCGTAGCATATGGCCAGTATGAGTGAGAGTAACTCTGCTTTTCCGAAATATTTTGTGCTACCTCCCATACGCACGTAACATTTGTACTCTGCCTCAACCGCAGCCCAGATTTGTCATTTTTCGTGATGCGTTTGAATAAGGGGCCGGTGCAATCCATCCGGCCACTTCCAGGGTAAGAACGATAGAGCCTTGCAAAACAGAGCATTGTCCCTGACCAGATCTCGCAGTTTGTTCCCTGCTTGTTAGAACTAGACAATAATTAACCCCTGATAGGACCGGTGAAAGGCTATCATTACCAAGAAATGGGTTTTTTAGCTTTGCGTTCCAATACTTATGCAAAATGCAACATAGCAGCATCAAACATATATGTATACATACATATATACATACATATATATATATATATATATATATATATATATATACGCTGCTATGTATATATATATATATATATATATATATATATATATACATAGCAGCATCAAACATATATATATATATATAT